ACTCTCATGGAAGTCACTATGGCTTGGCTTAGCTTTGCAGTGCAGCTCTCCAACCCACTGCAACACCCGGGAGGGCCCCAGGTTAAGTTATTACTTAACATTATTCTCACCTTCAAAGTAGGGTCAATAAATTCAAGAAGCAGGAAATGATGATTAATTCTGCTTTCAGTTCAGCAGTTTATAATCTTTTAAATCCAGAAATATTTGCAAAACACTATGATGGCATGTGTGGGGAGTAGAAAAAATTCCTCCAAACAGAAGACACTTTTTCTTCTTTTTTTTTTTTTAAAGATTGATTTATGTATGCACACAAGAAGTGGGGTACAGGCAGGAGGTGGGGCGGGGGTGAGAGGACCCACCAGAGTGAAAGCGGGGAGACTGACTAAATACACTGCTGAGGGGAGCAGAGGGTGAGACAGGAGAGGTCTGCTGTGCCACGGGGGGGGGGGGGGGGGGGGGGGGGGGGGGATCAAACTGCAGCTGCAGTAGCTGTGGGTAGCCTCACAGTACTGTGCTTCAACCCACTATGCCACAGAGGGGCCGGAAGACACTTTTTCTACTGTGAGTGACAATGTTGGCAGCTCTTTTAAACCTCAAGTGGTGACCTGAGAGACCACAAAAAAGGAAGTTGCAGAGATTTGCGACCACTACTTAGTTCTGAATGGTTTCAACAGATGAGGAAGTGAAAGTTTGGTTTCTGTTTCTACAGTATTTCTTTACAACTCATATTAAAATCTCTACTTACATCTCTAAACAAGAGATATAAAATCTCTGCCTATCTCTAAACAAACCATCTTCTACTGAAGACTTTTGTGATCTAGAGTAACCTTCTTTTGAAATAAGACATGTTTCCACACAGGGTAAATTTACCTAGGCATTATGACATTACTAGTCTATTCACAAAGTATAAGGTGAAAATGAAGAGAGTAGCTGGGCTATACACCATCTTTTTTCATTCTTCATTTAGAATCATTTCCCACCTCCAAAACCAATCACTTGCCCTCTCTCTGATGTCATACTACTTGTACCCATCTGTTATCCAGAGCCACAACAGCCAGACATGGATTGACAACTTTGTTTATGCCTTTATAGGCTGGTTATCTTGTGCTGGTTATCTAGCTTACTGATAATTTTCCCCTTCCATTTTTCTTCATTGTAACTGTCTTTTAAATCATTCTAATCTACTCAAGTCATACTTAAAATTTTCTCTTTTGATTTCTTTTCAGGAGGCAATGTTGCAAAAAGTAAACATCTATATCCTGAAGACACACATTCCCTGTCCTTTCTTATAAGAAATACATCTTTAGATTCTATTCTCTAAGAAAAGAATGTCTGCCTTATTCATAGTTTCAGCTAAATGTTATTTTAAATACTCCTATATTCCCTTTGGTTAGCAGACAACAACTAAGGTTTCCCTATCTTGTATATTGTACGAAGCTGTGAACATCTTTCTTTCCTAAGTCTTTTCCCTGAGCCCTCTGACTTAAAAAGCATGAGGAAAAAAAGAAAAACAACCTCTAGATGTCACAGCATATCCTATAGAGGCCTAAATAAAACAGACTTTACTAAAGATATATAAGAAAAGAAATGAAGTGGAAAAGTAGGGGGGAAAAGTCAAAGAAGTCATCAACAGATAAGAGAGAACAAAAATGAGAATAAGGCAGTCTTGTCTTAAAAGAAACTGATTGGGGAAAGGAGCAGTGAGAGGTTCTAAGAGCATGTAGAGAGATTATAGATCTAGGACCTAGGAGAAAGCACACAACCCCCCCAGACACTTACCGTATTACACTTTGTGCCACACACCACCTGCCTATGATTCAGCCACTGAGATGCAAACACTTTATTAAGGGTCCCAAGGTGAAACTCTCTCTCCTTCAGGAGACTGGGAAGTTGCTGTGCTGTATAACCATACAACACTCTAGAGTAGCTGCTTTCATTCTGTAGCCTGATTTCTCGATTCTTCAGGTAGTACACTAAGGATCTCTTCACTGGGGGGAGTCTTTTCCTTTTGTGAAGCGAGTGATCCCAGCCAAACTGGAAAACAATATATTGAAATCAGGGCTTTGGCTACCTTCAGTTCAAAACAAAAGATCCTACTGTGTTAAATCATCCTACAGGATTTACACACAGCAGAAATACAGCACAATAGGCATCTCAATCCAGAAAGTCCAGTTTAACTCTTCCAATACTGATAAAAAAAAAAAAGATGCTGTTCAGTTAAACCGTGAGAAACACTGGTCGAAAGACAAGGGAAGGAAGCAGAAAGGAGGACAAAAGGTTTATGTGGCCTTTTAGAAGTGAAGGGCTCAGATATCCTAAAGCTATCCTTGATAGGGAAAGGGGACTGAAGGGTCCAGTGATCACCAAGTCAACAATGGCTGCATCTCTACCCAGCCCCCCTCTCACTCTCAGCCTGAACTCCCGGTGGAGCATGGAGGGTGTAGCCCAAGGAGGCAGTCTATGGTACCAGGTCTTTCAGGGATGCACTATTAATGGCCGCCCCTCCATCACCAGGTGCCGCGCTCCAGGCAGTTGTAGAATTCGAAAAAAAATCAAACACCAACCGAGTAGGAGGCACGGGTAATCAAGAGTCCGATTATGCTTCCGACAAGGTTTTCCCTTCCAATGAAAGCAATATAAGGACGACACCTGAGAACTGCTATATCTTTTAGGGGGTGCAAGTTCCAAAAGATCCAGCTGAGGGTTTGATTATCCACTGGGAAGCTCCTTCCTATAGGAGGGGCGCATTCACCTCCACTTCCCATAAGGCAGTCTTCACTCTCCCTCCCAGTATGGCCTAGGTTTTGTTCCCAATTCTTCCGACTTCAGTTTCTCTTCCTCCACAGCCACGATTCTGGCTTCTCCTTATGCCCCATTCTTTGCTCAAGGCCTCTAGTTCCTCACTCCCGCGGCCTATCTGCTCTCCAGGGCACTCCTGAGAGTTCAGTCCTGATCCTATTATAGGCCAGACACCTCCAGCTCGCCCTCTGTCCACAGACCTTGGACCTCGGTTCCGGTTCCCCGACCGCAAACCCCATGCCCTTCTGCTTTACTTGGCCTCTTCATCCCGGTGCGGTCTCTCAGCCCTCACCTGCGGGCCCTGAGCGTCGCTCCCAGCTCCCGGCGAGGCAGGCGCTTTCCGCTTCCTGCTAACTGCTTTGCGGGCCATAGCGAACAGCTCCGCCGCGGCCCCGCAGCCACATGGGGCGGGGGAAGCGAGGGGTAGCTGGGCGGCAGGTCATATACTGGGCCCGGGGGACGCGAGCCTTAGTTCGCCCGGCCTGAAAAACGGCCGGGAACCGCTGCGATAGTAGAAGGAAAGGCTAGCTGAAGGGAAGAGGGAGGGAGGACTGGGGCCGGGAAAGGGAAAGGGGAGGGGAAGGGAAGCAGGAACGAGCAGCTTTCCGACGACTGAGCCTGGGAAGGACGGCGAGCGCCTGGAACCAAAACACCCCCTCCCCTTCGCCCGAGCTCAGTCAGCCTCAGGCGGGCGCACTGGGCGGCGCGTCGCCAAGGAGACGCCGCGGGCACTAGGGGGCGGGGCTTAGGATTGGAAGGAGCTCCCGGCTGTTGCTTGGCGGCTGCCCGCCCCTTTCCAACGGTCGTGCGGCGGCTGCTGGACGTGGACAAGGCGGGCGAGGTGGGCGAGGTGGGGGCTGAAAATCTCGGTTCCAGCTGCCGACCTCGAACGGTCGCCCGCTAGTCCTCAGGCATCCGGAAGTGAGGACAACTCACCCGGCTCGGGGGAGAAAATCCAGTCCAGGCCTTTACTCGGCTGCTGTCACTGGTTGCCTCCCTCCCGAGGCGTCTCGTTTCCCGAACCTATCCCACGCGGAGCTCTGGCGCAGGGGGCGGGACGCTGTGGGAGGAGGCGGAACCGCCTGCCTGTCAACCCCCCAGGTGGAGTCTAGCTGGGCGGTTCTCAGCCGAGAACTCGCCCAGCCGGGCGCTGCCCGGCACTGCCAGCTCTGGCCGCTCCCAGCCCTCTCGCTGCCCTCTCCCCACCCCGGGACGCTCTGAGACTCCGCTCTCCCTTCTGTCTTCTTCCGGTGCTTGTCTCCCTGCCTGACTCGCTCTCCTGCAACAGCTCCCCTTAGATTTCCATGACCTGTCGGTCACACGTCTTCGTGCTTTTATGAAATCGGCCTCACACCCGTAATTTATCTGTTTCTTAATCCGTCTCCACTGCAATCCTGAACTGGGAACCGAAACCGGGTAGGCCACTACCTGCCTTTCTTGGTTTTGTCTCCATAGGTAAGATTGGGGAAGAGTGGCCTTGGGCTTATCAGTTCAGTTAGGGCTGGCATTGCTCACAGGCATGAGGTTTTCTTCAGAATCAGCCTTGCCTCCATTTTCAGAAGACTCCGTAGAAATCTGAGTTGCAGTCTCCACTTTCCTCAGGAAAAGAAACCCTTCAAAGAAGCTGGATGCTCCTTGCTTACCGCCTATGCACCTCTGGCTGTAGTGCCCAGTTACCTGTTGATCCCATCAAGGCTTCAGGCTTCATACCTCCAAAGAGCTCTGTTGGCCCATCTGAAGCTCTGCCTACAAGGAGATTTGGATTTGTTTTCCGAGCTGAACCAAAGACCAGGTTGAGATAGGGTCTTCTGCCATCAGCACTGCCACTAACTCCTAATGCCACTTGGAGAAAGGCAGCCCCCTCTTACTTAGGCCAATCCCTTCAGAGACATGCACTCATTGAATGGATGTAAGTGGGTCAGCTTCCTTTTTTGAACCAGAAGTTCCAGTTCTATCTTGCCTCACAATGCCCTGGATGACCCAAAGGGCTTGACAGGAGCCTAGAATTCCTTTAATGAGAGTCTCAAGGCTCCCCTAGCCCCTTATCTCTATGTCAGAGGTGGCAGACTCATCCTGAGGTTGGTGCACTTCCTCTTGATATCCAGGAACTCTCCCTGAAAGCAGATCCTAGCAGAGCTCACATTTTTATGGAAATGTAATAGAATGGAGATCCATTAGGAAGCTTTATTTCCAAACATTTCATCTTATTTATTTATGCATACAAGAACTGGGGTGTAGGCCAGAGGTTGGGGTTGTTGATAGTGAGAGGATTTACCAGAGACAGAGTGGAGAGCAGGACAGGCAGATCCACTGAAAGACACTGCTGAGGGGAACAGGGACAAAACAGGAAAGGTCTGCTGTGCCATGTGGGTCAGCTCCCTGGCCAGGGATTAAACTCATGCTGATGATGATAGCTTGACAACACTGAGATTTTTAACTCCTTCGCCATCAGGGAGGCCGACCATTAGGAAGTTTAAAAACTCACAATTATTTTTAAAATACCAAGAGTATTATGATACAAAGAAGGTAGAGTGACTAGGACACTTTTACATGACTTGTGGCACTTTTACATATGTACCATATAAATTGGTACAACCAATATGGAAAAGTCTGGGCAGTTGCCACTAAAGCTAAATGTATGTATCTTATAATTAAGCAATTCTACTTCTGTTTATAACCCACAGAAGTGAATATGTCCTTCAAAAGAGGCAAAAACTATAATAACAGTTTTATTCATAATAACCCTATACTGGTAATGGTTGAAATGTCAACCAGTAGTAGAAAACATATTACTGGGGCTTCTCATGGCCTCCTCATGAGGTTTCATAACTTCTTAATGATTCACAGAACTCAGGGAAATACTTTGGTTACCATTAAAGGAAGAATTATAACTAGGTATTCTTTCTTAGTAAATAATTTACTGGACTCAAGCACCACGTTTCTGTGACTGGTCTCCTCCTACCATCACACATCTTCTAGCCTCACAGAAACTCTCCCTTCATGTCCCCACAGGACCTTAGCATGGATGACTTATCACACTGTCTTGTAATTGTCTGTTTTCATGTATGTCTCTTCCAATAGCTTGATAGATACATGAAGACAGATCACACTCTTATTTATCTCTAAATCTCTAGAGCATGGAAAAGGCACCTAGCATATTTTATACATTCCCTAAATGTCAACTGAAGCAAGAGTAAGTCAAATATGTTCACAATAGAGTTAACGATAGAGAAAAGCAACTGTATGATGAGAATAATGCTACATTGACTTGCTTCTAGAATTTTGAGTAAATCTACCTACTTCTAACTAAATAATATGTACTCAAGGCAGAAATTTGGGAAGGAAGGAAAGATAAGAAAGATATAAAAAGCAAAATCACTCCTAATTCCACCTTCCAGAAAAACACTTGACTTTTTTTTTCTTTTATATCTTTTTTTTTTATTAAAAAGTTTATTTTTACATCATTTTGCACATTTTTTTTTTCATCTCAATTGTAATCCCCACGGGTTTCCCATCACCAAATCACCCCTGTGCCACCACCATAGTCCCGTGCATTTCCCTCCCTTCCCCCCCCCCATTTTTGATCCCATTCCCCACTCCACCCCCACATAATGTCTCTGGTCTATGGTTGTTCATTATTTTTGTTATTTTCTCGCCTGGTCCATTATACTCCTGCTATGAGTGAAACCATCCGGTATTTTTCTTTCTCTTTCTGGCTTATCTCACTAAGCATGATCTTTTCCAGCTCCATCCAAGTTGCTGCAAAAGACATGTGTTTCTCTTTTTTGGTTGCTGAGTAATATTCCATTGTATATATGTACCACATCTTTCTAATCCAGTCATCTACTTTTGGGCATTTGGGCTGCTTCCATGTTTTTCCAATTGTAAATAAAGCAGCAATAAACATGGGGGTACAAGTATCTTTTTCAATCAGTGTTTTTGTGTCTTTTGGGTAGATACCTAGGAGTGGGATTGCTGGGTCATAGGGAAGCTCCATGTTTAGCAGTTTGAGGAACCTCCAAACAGTTTTCCATAGTGGTTGTACTAGTTTGCATTCCCACCAGCAATGCAGGAGAGTTCCTTTTTCTCCACATCCTCACCAACATTTGTTGTTGCTAGTTGTTTGAAGATGTGCCATTCTCACTGGGGTGAGGTGGTATCTCATTGTGGTTTTAATTTGCATCTACACTTGACGTTTGAGGTGTCATCTCCCAGTTATATTTTATATTTAACTAAGTGTCTGTATATCCATATATAGTTCTTTTTAAAGATGATTTACAACTATTTTATTTATTTTTAAAGATTTTATTTATTTATGCATACTGAACTGGGATATAGGTCAGAGGTGTAGAGGTGGTAAGAGAATTCACCAGAGATAGAGAACAGGCAGATCAACGAAGTACACTGCTGAGAGGAGCAGTGGACAAGTTAGGTGAGGTCTACCATGCCATGTGGATCACCTCTGGGGCTGGGGATCGAACGTGCAGTGGCACTGAAGTGGCCACCACCAGCTTCACAGTGCTGCACTCTAACTCACTGTGCCACCAGGGAGGGCCTTAGAACTATTGTATGACTTAAATAAAAATGCCTACAATTTCATCTTCTTCACCTTATCTCACCAAATCAGTCCTTGCAACCATTCTATCACAATGTGAAGTACATAGGATGCTTGTCCATGAACCCAGGCCCTGCTTGCTATTTATCTTCTCTCTGGTTTGTTCTTACCAAGAAAAATAAATAACATAAAAATACTATAAACTGCATGCTTAATAACAGTAACTCCTCTCATTTATTTGCATAGATTTGTTGGAATCAATAAGGCAGATGCTGCCACAATCCCCTGTATGATTCTACCCTACGCATTGAAGCTAATTAGCTAAATTTGCTAGCAAAGGACTCGGAAAGTATTTCTGTTAGGAAAATGGATCTGGGATTTAATTCACACAAACTATAATAAAAACAAGAAAAGAGTTCTAGAGGATATGAGAACATAAATTAGCACTGCTGGTAGTTACTCAATGACTGCTCTCTGATGATGTGAAGTTGTTAGAGGTCTCCAAGGCGTGTGAATGGAGTCTTAGAGATATTTTTCAGATCTTAGGGAATAAATTATTAAAGGTGGAAGATATAGAGACAGCTCATCTCATGGAGTTCATACTGTTACAGAAAAAAAAAAAAAGTCAAATAATGAAGTCAGAATAGAAGAGCAAGAGGGGGCCCTCCCTGGTGGTGCAACAGGTTAAAAGGCAGCACTCTGAAGCCAACAGCAGCCACTGCAACAGTAGTTCCAGGTGACCCACATGGCAGGCAGACCTCTCTTGACCTGCCTGCTGCTCTGCTCAGCAGTGTGTTTCAGTCAATCTGCCTGTTCTGCTCCCCACTCTGTCTCTGGTGAATCTTCTCACCCCCCTCACCTCTGGCCTATACCCCAGTACTTGTATGCATAAATAAATAAATCTTAAAAGAAAAAAAAAAGAATAGGCCCTCTCTGGTGGAGCAGCAGGTTAAAGCACAGCACTGAGAAGCTAGAGCCACTTCAGCATGAGTTCAATACCCGCCCACCCCAGAGGTGACCCACATGGCATGGCAGACCTCTCCTGACTCCCCTCAGCAGTGTACTTCTTCAGGCGGCCTGTTCTGCTCCCACTCTGTCTC